TAGGCATTTTTCCTTTATTTATAGTAGACCATTTTTCATCAGCAGATGCAAGCAATACCTGAAGATATTATTTTCAGTCTTTCTCAATTACTAAAAAGGCTTGAGAAAAAATAAATATGTGAAGAGATAGCCGATTCAATGTTCTACAAAACCCATATTAAACAATCTCAAATATCAAAACTTTTCTTAACCGGCGGCATCCTTTAACTTTCAACTTCATTAGTATTTACAACCATTTATTATGTTCTAATATCATAATTGTAATATATACATGGGGTACAATGTACCCTTTTTTTAAGCCATCCACACCAACTACCTGCTCGCTTTAATAAATACTTAATAAACAATAATATTTTCTTCAAAAACTATCACTAATCATTCAATGTTCCCAAGACAAAAAACATATTTTCGAAATATATATTCTATTGAACAAAATACGTATAGTAAACTTATTATTGTTTTTATACCGGATAGCAATCTAAACACATCTCTATTATCAAGTACACTTCAAAGATCAATTGTTTATTATAATCTTTTAAAACTTTTCAAAACTATGTTTAATTACGCCTTAGTACAAGAAACGAATATTTCCAAGACTTGCGTCTGTTTTAGAACTCGTTATCTGCACAATGAGACGAATACATGTCGAAAAAGCATTCAATTTAAAAAATGATCTTGACGTTCAAATAAAGAATCGGAAACTTTTAACTTTCTGAAATGATTATTTTTCTTCTCTTGTCTTGATTAATAATACGGCGAGTTTTAAGTATTATTCTATCCTCTATACTTATATCAAAGACAAGATTGACAAAAAGAAATGTTCAATAGAAACAGATAATTTCTTTTTATTCTTCATCAATAGTAAATTCATATTAAGGGATAAAAAAAATGTCATTTGACAATTTTTTACATTTGTATTTAAGTTGTTGTCGACAAATATCAACAACAGTCCAATATTGACGTTTATCATTAAGAATATAAACAATAGATGAAAATGATCATTCACCATCACCATCATTATTTTCATTTAGAAAAGAAAATAATAAAATATTATCATAAAAAAAATTAATTGGCATTCAAAATCATTGATGAATCTAATTTGTATTATATCTTACTCATTTAACACAATTCATGTCATCAAAACCGTGTTACTTTTGACAATTAGTCGCAATACTTGAAAAAATCGTCAATAAATTGTAATCAATCGACCGTTTTCTGAATAGGAAAATAAATCATCGATTAATCGCGATTAAATAACGATTTTTCTTATGTCACTATGAATCACGATTAATCACTGATTTTCCTACAAACTTCAACAATAAATGTTATTGCATAAAAATAAACATTTATTTTCTTTTATTTAGATTATATGGTCTTTGCAATGAAAAATAAATATTATCCTATTAAAAAGTTTTCTTTATTCTATTTAGACAATCAGATCTGATTAATGAACAGTAAGAGTTATTTTTGTTTTAGATTCGTTTTTTTCTTTTATTAGAACATTTGGTCTTCGATATGAACGTGAGCATTTCTTAATGGAAAGTAAGTGTTTTATTTAAATTGTACTTGGATCATATAATCATCAGAGTAAACCGTGAATATTCACATGTCATATTTTTGTTTGCAGTATCACCGATGGTGCTTCAAACTTTCAGTTCTAACTATAATCAATTTTAGAGAGTGTTGTCTATCCAAATGCAAATTTATGATTAGAAAGAATTCAAATTCATTGAGAAAACAAAGTTTCAGAATATACATATTTTACTAATAAAAATTTTTGCTGCATCATCTATAAAAATATTTGTGTCAGGGCTGGAACCGATTTGGGCGTCTATGGTTAGGACAGACGACTCAAATGCATTGCCGCTAGTAGAATTCATCATAATCGGTTCGATTCTGTCAGTTTTTACAGATTTCAATAGTATTCACTCGTTTTGATACAATACATCATGACATACGATTTTGAGAAAAAACTCGTGGTTATTTCCGGTTCGTATCATATGGGTCGTTTTACTAATAACAGTAAAAGACCGCAAATAATCAAGACAGTTTTCATTGATAATGTATATCTTTTTTCGGTTGCATAAAAACTATAAAACTAACGAAACAACAAATCAAATTAAATACAATTGATTCAAAAAAAGACGATGAAAAAAAAACTAATATATCATTTTTATAATTATCCTTAAGACGATCTATTGAAAATGATTGTCAAAGATAACAATTGAATAATTAATTTTATTCATCAAAATTTGTTTTATTAATACAAAAGATAATCAATTTATAAATGCAACAAAAAATCTACTTGAAAAATGTGTAACAAATTTATGAAAATGATGTGTTTTGTTTCTTGTTTCTTTCAAATGTGGTGTTTGGCATAGAATAAAAAAAAAAGAAAGAACAAAGAAAATTAAGTCTAACATTTGAAATAATCATATTCGACATTGTATTGAACATAAATGTTAATTTTATGCACCTTCATATCGAATTACAAATTTATTTTCATCATGATGCAGTGTGTTTCGAACATAATATTTGCCTTCAAATTGTTCATTACTACGATTCCATTTTACTTGAACAATTGCTGTATGACCTAAATTCTCTTCTGGATTTCCTGTTCCAAGTTGATAATGTAATTTTAAACTCATTCGAAGAGTTTTTCGTGAATAAATACCTGTTATGACATAAATACCTATATCATCTTTTCCTTTTCCATGAACAATATGATCAGCTTCTGGATAAAATCCAAGTCCTATATCATATGGTCCATAATATTCACCAGATATATAATGGTAACTTGCAAATGTACCCGATATAAAGATTGAATCACTTATATCAGATCCCATAGGAATTGCTCCATGAATGTAAAATTTAGGAAAACATAATGGACGACCTTTCATACATGGAAGTATGCATGTAAAGAAACATACACAGAACCCTACTAATATTGCAATGCTGATCACACCACCCACTGCGCCTCCAACGATAGGTGCGATAGGTACTCCATTAATTTTTCCTTTATCTAAATTTTGGAAAAAGTCAATTAAATATGAATATCTTTGCATAGCCTCCTAAAGATGTAAATAGTTTTGAAATGAATTAAATTAAAAAAAAATGTTATGTCGAAGTTATTAAACATAATTTAAACAACAAATAATAACCATTCAATTGATGATATTATAAATAAAATGAATAATTCTAGTTAATTTTTCATCTTAAAAATATACATTTAAATTTTCTAATAGAAAAAAATTGAGGATAAAGGCTTCGTTGCGGTCTAATATGTAAATCGAAAGGTATGTCTCAACGTTTGAATAAATCTAATAAATTAAAAAATGAGTTCGAGAAATCTATTGTTTTTTCAGGTCATATATCATTATCACTTTCATATCTATTAATCGTAAACTCATTAAGCTTTCTATATCAACTTGATATGTTCTTTTATTTTAGCATTCTAGTGGTTTTATCTATGCAGTGTTGATATAAAAATAGTTCTAAAACACAATAAAATTTACCAAATCAACTGAACTAACACTTTTGCACTTTTCGGTATAAGATGTCATCTCAAAGATAGCCAATTTTGTGCATGCATTAACAATATTTTAGATTAACGATTAGTTTGGGTCTTATTTCAGATTAGAACATTGAACTTTAACGGTCGATTTCATCAACAGAAGAACATCATTTCATCTGAATCCTTACGACAAAAGAATCTAAATTGTTGACATAATGCAATGTTCAACTTTTTCAAATAGTTTCTATAATTCTTGCGTATTCTTATCACACTTAATTGTACGTTATTAAAATGAAAGATTAAGTAGAATTATACATTTTATTTATAATATCATCAATTGAATAATTATTATTTGTTGTTTGATAACTTCGACATGATATATGTACAGTGCGCCTGAAAAGTCTCGTACTACTTTTATTTAATTCTATACTTGTACCGTAGATGTCGAGTACTTTCATATGTACATGCTTTGAATATGAGATATAATAGGAAAAAAGACACAATTATATTATTCTTTTGAGAGACAGTGTCGGATTATACCATCTATTCAGAATTGAGAGATTGTGGCAGCATGCTATGGATTTTCCTTTCAACCACACTTATACTCCAACTTTTATATAGTGTGTTTTGTAGTATTTCATTACGAGCAATTTCTGTGAAAGTTTTACGTTTAGTTACATCTTCTATGATCGACAATATTGAGGACATGAAAACTTATTTTTCCTATCAAAGAGAGTATAATCGGAGATGTTAAGTATATGAGCATGTAACTCGTGAAAAGTTCTACAAAATTATAAATAAGAAAGTGGTTTTTTTTTACAAAGACTTTCAGCTGATACCAAGCATTCTAATGATCAGTAACTGATCATGCTTTGGATGTACAGTTTTCTATTAGTAAATTGATTCTATAGTTCTTACAATGTCTCATGAAAATAAGATCTACTAAATACCGTACAATGTGCCTCGACTCGCTCTACAAAACAGAATATTTGATTTCTCATATTCTAAATAGGTGACTTAATTCGACAAGGACGCTCAAAGTAATGATATAGTTTTGTCCTTTTTTCTGTCACTTTTTTCTTAATATTGAAGCTTGTTTTTTTTCTTCTATTATATATCATATTCAAGTCTTTATTGTATTAAACACGTGTATGTATATAGTATCCGACCTTTACCACATAACCATATAGTCGAATTAGGTAAATTTTGTGCAGTTTAAATATACGAATCAAAAGAAAAAAGTGATGCGAGACTTTTAACATACACCTTATTCTATGGGTTTAGTCAATCAATCGAATGTAGATTCTCAATTTTTACTTTAGTTAAAATGATTATAATTCGATTTCTATATATTCCGTCCTATGTATAAGTGAATAAAATTAAAAAAATATGGAAAGATTGCGTTATCATGAAGTTGATAACAAACATAGTTTATATCTATTAACTGTAAATAAATAAATATATACATATGAAGATTGTTTTCATGTAATATTTTAATACCTAATGAACTATTATCAATAGATAAATAATCACATGTTTGATCCCAGTACTCTTTGCTAAATAGAGAAAGATAGATTCAGTATATATTAGAACGATGAAATTTCATATCAAACATTATAGTCAATACTTTAAATATTTTTTGGTGTATAAAGATAAAAGAATTTAACTTTGCTTATGAATCACCTTTTTATACCCTTATACAATTTTGAGAAAAGTAAAGTAAGCTTTTTTTCGTACACTATACCCTGGTCGAAAGAAGTTTTCTATCCTTTACCCTATCCTACTTTGTAGAGTAAAGTAATGGTAACCGCACATATCACCACATACTCTTTCATATATATATATATGATATGAATAAATATTTTCTCAAGAAGTAGATTATTATTTGTACCTCCGAAGCCTCCAAGAACTTCAACAACTGCTGCAGCGCGGTCGACACGATTACCATGACCATCTTCATCACCTTCTCCTTCTTGGTGTTTAATCCATTTGCTGTTGGTCAAAATGAATGTAATACTGATCAATATAAGGATACGAAAATACCAAATCATGGTTTAAATAGATCGACGAAAGAAAGTTGGTTACAAACAGCTATTCAAGTAAAATATGTCTACAGGTGCACAACGACATATTTATATGAAATGCTAACATAAATATGCACAATTACGTTGTTTATATTAACGCTTCGTATAAAAAAAAAACGTGGTTGTTTACCTGTATGCATATTTTTTTTCTTAAATAACTATTGACAAGAATACTACAATCGAATTTCGTACTTATGCAACGAAAATTATCAATGCATTTACATAGGTTAATTTGTAACAGAATATTATGAAAGTACATCAATACAAAGACAAAACAAATGATGAATGATAGATAATATTTGATTATCTATTTTACAATAATTTATTTGAATTTATAATTGATTATTGCTGACATAATAGGTTTTAATCAATGCATTCTTTTTTAGTTTTTTTTCTTTTTTACTATGAATTTAGAATTAAAAAAAAAAACGATTAAAATTCTTTTTTTCGATTATCCATCTAAATTTGACGAACTAATAATTTATTTTCATTTCATAGTCATCGTTTCTATCAAAATGAATCTTTACCATGAATTATTTCCTTATGTCATATTACTCTTCTCATTATCTGAATGAACATTCATTAGAAATATTAAAAGTATTTGTGTATGCATTCATACAAATGAAAATGATGTCATTCCGAATATAACATGATTATTTTTATCGAAAATTCCATTATTAACAAAATGTCGTTTACGGGCATTGTATACATTGATTGCAAGATCAATTCAGTCTTTTTTATTACAAATGAAATCAAATATCAAAATATTTCAATGAAACATAATGTTAATATAAATTGTTCGAAGAGAATATTCTTCGAATAATCAAAACATGATAATATCGATAAAATCTAATGACGAAGTCTAAAAAGTTTATTTCATAAGTTATTTAATCGATAATTGTACTTTGCAATAGAAAATAATAGACATTAATTATCCTGTATAATGATCAAGATATGTGACTATAAATGAACTTGTTGATTTGTATAATATAGACAATACTTTAGTTCATGGCCAATTAAATCAAGCAAAAACTTTTGTGTTTAACTCTTTCCACTTAGAAACTCAGCTTTTTTCTTGCAATGAAAGATTATTAAAAAAAAATGACTTGACACATTTTTCCATAGCTCCAATTTTGATGAAATCTATCAAAGAGAATTCTTCTCGATGTGAAATGTCTGCATTTTCTGGGCAAATATTTCTCGATCGATATATAGGTTTTTCGGTTTTCATTATTTTCGATGATTTTCTGTGCTTACAAGCTGTTTTCGGTAAAATAAACGGCAGATTCAGAATGAGCATAATTCTTAAAATATTTTCTGTTAAAAAAGTCCATGCTGTTGAGTTTCACTGAAAGTAAATCATTTTCATATGCTCTATGTAATTTTCTGGTTGTCCTATATAGAATTTAGAAAATTATAACATGATATTCAATGATACAATTTATTTGCTTCTTAACCAATACTCAATATAGATGTCCAAATTTTAATATTATTCTGATTTAGTTCGATTTATGTGTATGACACTTCACTCGATGTGGAGGAGAGGGCATGCAATAGGGAAGAAAAAGAAAAACGAAACTATCAAGCAAGCCAACAAAAGAGCACATAAAGCATGTACACATAAAAATAAGCATGATAGATAAAATCAAGTATGTTGTGAAGGAATCTATTTAAAAAATCTAAAATAACGTATGCAGTAATACGTTGTGATATATATATCACATGATGCGCGTAATATTTTCAATGTTTACGCATGTTCTAAAACTCGCTACTTGATCAATAATAAATAAATATAGACGCAATGTTTAACTTTCTGAAACTCTTATTTGCCTTTTTCTTTTTTTTTACCTCGATTGATAATAACCTACAATGCATAAGTATCTACACGAGTGTCGATACCTGTTGTCGTTCTAACAGAAAATACTACAAATCTAAATTCTTTCACTCACTGATAGACCAAAATATGTGCTTTAAGACGTAAAATTTTATTTTATTTTTTTTAAACTAATAAAATGTCTTATTACCAAGAAATTCTTTTATGTATTCACTATTTCCTTTAACACTTTCAAATGGGATAAAAATTTTTAGTAGGTATATTAGTTTTTATTGGACAAAAGTTCAAGTCGAACGGATGTAATTGTTCCGAGTTATATAAAATCTCTGATCATATCGAAATTGACGTTAAGTAATATTTTGTATATATTCTTTGTTCCATCATTTACGAGTCCAACAAAATTTATTTGGTGTACTGCAATCCAAAAGAAGTGTTCGAGTATATTGGATGAAAATTTAGACACTTTCTTCTAAATAATTAATTAATAAGCCATTAATAGCACGTCAAGGACGTATTGATAGGCAATTAAATGAAACGAATGTTACAAGATATAGCAAGAAAAAAAGAATCATCTCCTTCGTGCGCACAGGCCGTGACAAACAGAAATCAAGAATGAAACCTTTTCTATACCGTCGTAGACCTTGACAAGTGTTTCGATAGTTTAGTCTATCAAACCATCAAGAAAAATACGACCAACATATGTGTGAAGTACTTCTTAACAAGTGGAACAATTCTATCGTGTTGCATATTTTTGGATCTCATCGAGAATTTATGCGATCATGAACAATTAAGATTGTTATCAAAAGCCCGTGCAATCTAATTGGTTTCAGCTACTTTTTAAGCTAATTGCTGATTACTATGGATACACAAAAAAAAAAAATATGAAATCGATTTTTTAGAAAGTCTACATCCAACAGATATCTTTTTCAAGTTTGAACTTACTATGTTCGTTTTTTAAGACAATATAATGCAGATTATAAATCAAGAAAAAGTGTGCAAATATTAACAAGCTATTTACAAAAAAAAAAAAAACTCTAAAATGAATATTTCAAACTACTTCGCAAGTTTTATTTATTGATGTATTTTAAAGTACATTTTTGTTTTATTTATGAGTGAAAAAAAAAATTAGGCTTCTAGGATTTTTACATTCAAACACAGCAGGTATCAATATTTGTGTGGATACTTATACATCCATAGGTAGAAAGAAACAATATTTTTGTTTTTGTTTATTCATAATAAATCCATGTTGATGAATAAACAAATGTCATTTGACAATATTTTATTTGATTAACAATTTTACATTGATGTTTAAGTTGTTGTCCACTAATACCAACAATAGTCCAATCTTGAAATTTATCATTAAGAATACAAACAATAGGTGAAAATGACCATTCATCATCATCATCATTTTCGTTTATAAATGAAAATAATGAAATATTATCATAAAAAATAAATTGTCGTTCAAAATCATTAATTAATCTAATTTGTCTTATATCATATTCATTTAAAACCAAAACACAATAAAGTTCATTAATTTTTTCTTTGTTTAATTTTAAATTATTTACTTTTTTATATGTTTTATTAACAAGAAATTCATGATGAAATGCTAAACGTACTAATTGAAATGGTGAATATATTTGATATGTATCAATATGTAGTGCTATTTTATCATATTCATCATTATCAATTTTTTTCATCAATGAAAATAATATTGACCGTTTATCATTCGGTGTTAAATGAGTTGGTAAACATGATTCATGTGTTAAAAGCAATGTTGATTCGATAAATATAGCATTACATGAAAATAAAAATTCGTCATTAACAAAATCATGTGATATATCACTACCCATATGTAACCAAGAATTATAAAATAATTTATCCCATTTTGATGTACCATGGAATGAAAAATAATATATTGGTAAAAGAATATTCCAAATTTGATGATTTGATTCAGTAGAAATAATCAATGATGAATCATTTGATGATGATAATGATGATGTACAACAATCATGATGAGAATTTGAACATGTTACATTTGTTAAACGAGAAATTAAAGGACAAGGAAATCGAATACGATCAATACAATAAGAATTAATACCACAACTTTCACCTGAACACAAAAAATGAATAACAGTTTTTGTTTTTTGTTAATATATTTTTGAAAAGAAGAAATAACTTCATATAAAGCCCTATTCTCAATATTAAAAACAAGTCAATTTTTATTAGAGGTACCGAAATTAAGATAAATGCATGGAAGCATAGCCCATACAGTGTGCATTTTTCGTATGGCAAGCGACCATGTGACTTTCTTTCTCGGAAGTGATTAAATATGACGTCGAAAAACATTTTTACGACAAAAAAAAATACTTTTGGAGAAAAAAGTTTTCTCACGAAAAATACCTGGCAGGGGACCCTTGCCCTAATTTTTTCGAGAAAATTGTTCTATATCATTCGATGCAGTTTAATGCGCTGATTTTGAAACTAATATTTTTCTAATGTAATCCGGGAATGTTTGCACTAACAGATATTAAAGACAGTAGATTGAAGAACATTTTAGTAAAATTTGGAAAAGTTTGAAGGTTGGATGTGGGAGATTGCAGAAAAGAAAAAAAAAATTTTTTTTCTCAATATTTAAACGTACAAATTAAAAGATTATTTTTACCATTGTACAGAACTTGGATTCAAGATTTAAGAAAATGTACTTGATTTATCTGTCGAACAGTTTCACTTGATCAGATATCAATTTTGAGCCTAATTTTTGGACAACTGATTTTTCAGTTTCTTTGAGGATTGTAACAAAATATCTATATTTAAATCTTGAAACAATTTTTTATTTATTTATATATTTTCATTCTTAGAAACGAATTTTTTAAGTAGGTTCATGTCCCCTAGGAACGAGAACTTCGATATCTCTACCTAAATGAACATTCAGAAGAATAGTTTATTTTAATATTCGGTAAAAATCAAAAATATCTTCAACTCAAATAATTTATTTAAAATATATTATATGACTTTTATTTCGAAAAATAAATTTACCTTGTAACCAACAAATGAATCCTGTTGGACAAGTTAAAATACTATCTGTAAATTGCATTGATGATGATACAATCAATGAAGCCGGAATACATTGTCCACCAAAATCTGGACATTCATTCGTTTTTGATGAAGGCATTGGAGTTGATAATATGATTTCTTCGGATACACGAAATTGATCAATTAAAATCGAACATATTTGTGCATCAATATTTGAATTATTATATTTCCTTAAACATCGATCATTTGTTGATGATTGATTACGACTTATATTTAATCGAAGTTCTATTTCAGGTAATGTATAATACCATGGATCATTTTCAATACATGATAAATAAATACATTGATATTTTGTTGTATTTGTACAATTTGATGAATAAAGATAATTAAATAATATTTGATATTCACTTTCTATTGAATTAATTCCTATATCAAATTTCATAATGGATAATAATTCTTTAGATAAAATTAATTTTTCAAGAATAATTCCTTTTGATTTACATGTAAAAATAAGATTTGTTGTTAATGTTGTAGATCCATTGAAATACACAATTAATCGATATGTTGTTGTATTAAGTAATTCAAATACATTTTGAATAATCATTAATGTTGATGATGATGATGATACATTATTCGATTTCGAATGATGTTCAACAACGTTAGTAGAATTTTTTAAACGTAAAACTTTCTTATAATTACTCTTTTTATGAAATGATTTTTTTTCATTATTCAATGGTTTTCGACATATAACTGTGCGTTGATTATGACATGATGTACGTTCAATAGGTTCACGTATTTTTGAATCAAGAATTAATGCAGCACAATCACCTGCACTGACTATATATGGTGATAAACGATGTTGAAAAAACTTTCTCCATTCATACAATTTCCATTGTTCATCTAAATAAGATTCAATTGATAAATCCCATCGCCAATCAAAATTATTTTCTATATGATCATCGGCTGAACTAAATGCTCTATAGGATAATGCTAACCATACACCAGCTAATGAAAGATGTTTAAAAAATGGTGTTAAAGGTATAAGATTATGTGTTAAACGAAAAAGTTCTTCTTCATTATTTATATATAAAAGATGACCACCGTTTTGTGAACATTCGATCGATCCACCAGCCATATCAAAAAATGATTGTGAAGAAAAATAAAGACAAAAACCATCATCATAAAACCATGGCGGTTCACAAGTTGTATTTTGAATTTGTCGACATAATGTATAAGAATTATATAATGAACAATTTCTAGTAAAATTTTGATTTTTTAATTGAGTAAGTGTTGTACTTAAATGTACATCACCAGATATAAATGAACAATTATCTTGTATTATATTTTCAAATGAATAGGATATTCCACCGAAATTTTCAGATAAAATTGTACTTGATCGAAGATTATACAATGAATATGATAAAAATGGAATAAGAATTGTTTTTTCTTGTTTTGAACTAGAAAATAATTCACCTTCCCATGCTTGACATTGAAGTATATTACGTTCTTCTTCTTCAGTTTTAGTAATACGTTTTTGTTCATCTAAATAATAACATATTCCATAAGCTAATGCCCATGGTCGACGACAAACAATATTTGATGGAAGTTCTTTTCGACACATCACTGAATGTTTTTCTCGACAATTTGTAAATGGCATACGAAGTGTATCAATTTGACCAAATTTATAATTTGATTTTAATTCAATTTTACGACAAGTTCGTTTTGAATATCGACTTAATATTGTACGTCGTTGTTGACCCCATGTTGTATTTGTCCATATAGATTTTATTTCTTTTGATTTTTCACGATTAATTAATATATCACGTAAAGGATCAATCATTTCATCATCACCTGATATATACGCAAGATATGTATGTTTATCAATTGAATGACATAAACGATATGCTGATAACCAATCCAAAGTTACATTCGGAAATATATAATAACACCATGATTTATAATAATAAAATGGTGGTGTACAATAATTATTAATTATATCCGTATAAGATAATATATCTTCACTATTAATTAATAAAGGATAAAATATAATAAAAAATAAAAAGCTTAATCTCATGATGAGTATTGATGCAAAGACAAATGATGTATGTGTTTGTAGAAGAGAAAGAATGTCATACAGGTTTTTTTTTGTCTATGCTTGCAGCTGTTTATAATATTTGTTTACCATCTGTTCGTATGTTTTGTCTAATAATTATCGATGATAATAGAAAAAAAGCTATATTTGGACATTTTCTTTAGACATCTATTTGCAAGTATTATCAGATAATCATCATCTAACTTCTTTAGATAACAAAAAAGAAATGAATAGATTATTAAACATTAATCATCTGAAATGAACGCTAATTACTAAACATCATGTACTTTACTTGTATTATGTTTAAATCTTGCCACAACTTTTAACAAATTATTTATGATGATCAGTCAATCAAAAATATTAAATAATACTCTCAGCCGTTTCTTATATAATTAGTTTTTTTTATAGTAAATGGCATATGATTCATATGAATGATTAACTTCTGATGTCTATCGTGTATAAGACAAATGTTACGTTTTTAAGTTTCTTTTAGCAATACTACATAGATTAGGCATGCACTAAAACCTACCAACAGAATTGGAATATTTTATAAAAGGACTTGTACGTTTGACTAATAAAAGAAAAATGATGCAATCAATTATTCGATTAATTGAAAGACAATCCAAACGTAAACTCATTGGGTTCAGTTTCTTTGATTCACCATAGCTTGTAATATAACAACATTGCCAGAATCCCTCCTTTGACTTTCTCTAATATCGTTCTCCTACTCTTCAATCTTCTACCAATGGAAAAATGTTGTGTCACGTGACTCAGTAGGTAAGAGTATTTTTCTTCATTTAGGCATAAACGACCCAAAACAGCTTGAATGCATGTCTACTCTAGACTAGATATGTGCAAGATCAAGTTTTCCAGTCCTGTTTATGCACTCAGAAACACTAAGTTGCTCTCGAAATCGATCTAGAGAAAACTGTTCCCAAATTTTTCCAGAAAATAACCAAAAGAATTCAGCGATATACGGTTTTTTTTTTATTTATTTAATCAACAATTACTACTTTTTTGCATCATATCTGTTAAAGTAAAGAGTATCTCATAAATTCTGAGCATCAATGAAAATTATCTTACATGTAAAAAAGAGTGATCCCTACCCAACTATATCTATATGTGCTTAAAGTACTTAGAATGATGTTGTAGATCACATAATATCCGATAACATTATGTCTTTTAATAATAGTGATATAAACAAGAGAAATGTGATAATAAGGGTGTGGCTACAGAGGATAGCCATATCTCTCCACACACCCTTGTCAAAAGAGATCAATTCATTGGATAAAACGCCATTTGAAACATTGCGTTAAGTACTCGAAGTTCATATAGATACAGTTAGATAGGGATCACTCTTTGTCTCCACACAAACTGACTTACGTTAAGGCTCAAATATAGGGTCTTACATGAGTATGACGTTTCGATATCAGACTCAGACCGGTACTTTTTTTCTATACTCAGTACTCCACCGAACCTGCCGACATCCTGTAGACACTTGCACACTCATGGTATAGTTGTCACACTGTTACTATAAATATATGAAAAAGTATGCTATCTAGTTTGTCCCATGAATAGCAACAAAAAAAAAGATCATCTCAATTTCCACCGAACCAAGTCAATCGAGTGATTCAGAATTTACTTTGTATCTTTCTGCTACTAAAGCCCGATCAATGTCGCTAAATTTTGAACTTGCTTATTGCTGAATGGTGCTATAATGCGACGCCATTTTTCTGACAAATGCCATAATAATGGATACGTACATGAATACATTTTCATTTTATCAGATTGTTACTCATCATCTGTAGATCAATTTTCATTAATAACGATTTTTCTTGGTAAAACAATATCTTCATCCGTCTCTGTGATCTGTTCTTCAATATGATATTTTACTCATTCATGATTGGACCGGTTTGCACAACTATGCTTTTATATAAATTGGCGATTTGAAAGTAAAAATACTTTGCAACATCGAGATTTGATTAGTTGTTGAGTGGACTTCGAGTATGAGGTTATACCGAGAACTGGATCCAGTTACTGGACACTGCCCAGAACTTATGAAACATCCTCTATAAGTTCTGAAAAACAAGATATGTGCTGAAACGATGCATTTCAAAGAGTAGTACAGTTTTTCATTAAAAAAAGTACATCTTTCCAAAAATTTTGCCAGAAGGATGAGTGCGTATAGTCTTCCACAGTTTCGCCACTGCGAATCTTTTCTCAGCCACGATTTTTACCAATCATTTATACTTTAATATTTTATAAGAAGATTTACATAAATTTATTTCAAGAAAATATGCATAGAACGAAACATCGTTGATAAAAAAAAAAGAAGAAAATCAAACTACTCTCATCTGCCGATATGTTGATTAATTGTTTGATCATTCATCTTACATAAAATATAGAAAAATAACACCACCTTGATGATGATATAAATTATATTTCATCCATTGACGACTACTTGTTATCAATAATTCAAGAAGAAAATTAGACAATTCATCGTCACAGACAATAATAACATATCAACAAATTGAAAGCAGTCTATATATTCTATTAATCAATTAACACATAACAGGTTGCTTGTTTCTTTCTTTCTTTCTCTCTCTCTCACTTCTATTTATCAACTTTGTTCATACTTATCTTCTCATATAACTACTTCGTACATCTTCATCTGTTCATTTCAGTCAATCAACTTCGAATTGAATTCAAATACAGGATTTGTTAATCATATTACATATTCAAAATAAATTAACAATTTTTCGTTTCTTTTTTTCTGTAGGAAGAAAATGTTTCGAAAAGCTGAACAAGAAGCTCTTCTTGGTTCGTAATTTATTAATAAAATAACAAAAAAAAAAAAAAACTTTAATTTCTAGCTGGTCATGGTCGCGTCAATCAATTAGGGGGAGTTTTTATTAATGGTCGTCCTTTACCTGATCATATTCGTCGAAAAATTATTGAAATGTCCTCAAATGGAATTCGTCCTTGTATGATTAGTCGCCAAGTATGGAATTTGTTGTGAAAAAAACTTTCAAAATCAATTCATTATGTTTTTAGCTTCAAGTATCTCATGGTTGTGTATCAAAAATACTTTCACGTTATGCTGAAACAGGTTCACATAAACCAGGTGTAAGTAGTCGACGACAAACTAAATTTAATAATCGACAATTGAATGATAATGATACTGCAACAACTGAGGAATCAGACGAAAGCAAAAGTAAGATTTCAAAAATTTTCGTGAAGTCTTGTTAAATGAATTTTGTTTATTTTTAGATAATTCACTTAATGAAACTTTACCAATACGTGAATCGGCTCCTACGCGTCGTTATCGTTCATCATTTACTCTTGAACAAATCGAAATTCTCGAACAATTATTTTCCCATACACCATATCCTGATGTAACAACACGTGGAAATCTTTCGAAATGTTTAAATATAGAAGAAAATCGTATTCAAGTATGGTTCAGTAATCGTCGTGCTCGTATTAGAAAATCAACATCAACTCCAACCTCATATTCAAGTCCAATATCAACAAATAAAGAAGAAAATATCGTATCATCATTTCTTGCATCACCGTCTATAGATATGAAACAAATGTCAATAAATGATAATAATTTTGATCCAACTATAACATCAAGTCCATCAGCAGGTGAGTGTAATGTTTAATGCTTATGTCATCTGTAAGATTATTTTTGTTTTAGATTATTGGTCATCAACATCACCAATGACTTATACACCAACTAATAATTCACATTATCCGTTGAGTGACTATTATTATTATCCACCAAGTACCACATCCGTTTATCCGAACTATCAAATGTCATATTCATCTTTTCCTTCTTTCTATTAAATTCTTTATGTAAATTTTCTTGAATTTTTATGTATTTTTCTTTTGGTTGCTTTAATGACTTGAACTATTCAGTCAAATAAATAAAAACTTTTGGACATAAAATATCAGAATTATAGTCAATTTAAACAGAATATATGAGGTAGTTGTGAATTTGATTTTGGTTGGTTAGCTTCCAATAATTAATAAAAATAGAATATCATGTTTTTATGTGTTGGTCTCAGATAGGTTTATTTTTTTGTTCACAAAATTTTTGAGAAAAAAATGTCTGAGCGTACACTTTTCAGTGGGACACAATGCATAAGACATGTTTATTATAAATTCGAATAGGAAAAATTTATCTTGTAGTCTAAGTAGATATTGATGAGGCGCATTGCTAAAAGAGTGATGACTAGATTTGATTGATATTGAAATGGAATGCATAGGGTCGTTGTTGTATTTGATGTTGTTTTGAACGTACAAAAGCGTCGATATGCTGTATAGGAAATTGATGGTAGTGTAAATAAACGTGCCACATGGAATATCTTTAGAAAGAAAACTGAGGAGTTCTCACTGATGGAAAAAGAGAAATTCATTCAGTATTTTGGTATTATTAAGACACATTGAAATATTACATTACTTCTTGGAATATGAAGCTTTTTCAATTACAGTCACGTGGGGTAATTCGGATCAAAATTTAAAAAATTCGTTTTGTTTTTCTTCGCTCTTCTGTATTTTATGTAATTTAGAAGTGAGTTTTGGATCACAAGTAGAACAAAGTGTGCTCTATCGATTGATGAAAGAATCTCCGAAAAATCATGTATTGTAAAAAAGTATGATCAAAAATACAAGAGACAGTATGGTAGGTGATCCGAATTACACCAGTTGATAGCCCAAAATTTCTACTATGGAACCTGAAGATATCTCGATGATCGAGTATGACCTTAGAGATGCAATATTCACAACATTGATACCTATATCCATCAGTTTTTAAAAGTTAAAAATGAACTTGGGGTAATTCGGATCAGTCAAGCTATTTTAGCTGGACGTAACTTATGAAACCTCTACTGTTTTTACAATCCATTATCGACTAGTACTCCTGAGACAAAAGTTGTTCATCTTTCTTTTCTCTTTCGTGCCCATGCAAAATAACATGACATTGAACGAGATCGACCAAGTATTTTTTTAAATTTTTGAAATGATGAAAAAAGGCTGTTTTTTTTATGATATACCTTATAGTATTTATCATATTATTGGAAAACAATAATATATCCGACAAAAAATAAATTTGGTATTTCAGACTCAGAATTGTTTGGACTACAAAACTGTATAAAAGAAAAGGTCCTAAGAGCTGTCATCGTAAGCTATAATGTCATAAATAATCCTATAAAACATCATAATTTTATGAAAACTCAACTTTATTGAAGGTTCAGTCAAAGGAAATCGATAAATTATCGCAAATATTTTTAATCGATAATAAAAGAGCTAAATTATCATCTTTAACAATCTAATCAAAGCTTAGATGGTTGACAAGTATCACCATAAAAAAAACGAGACTTCGAGCGAGAATTCAACGTTGTAGAAGGAGTATTGAAAGCATTTGATTCGTCACAAATTGAACAACTATTTGCAACTGGTTCAATTGGCAATTCAAGATCGTTATCATTACACTATTTTTTGACATTTTTTAATATATGCTCGTGGTATTCATCAGAATTATTCTTTTGTTTAAAAGATAAACAACAAACAGTAAAAATCCAAGATGATGACAGTTAGAAATAATTAACGGGTCCCTCTCAGAAAAGAACTTTGTTATTTTTCGACGTAACTCAGCCCAAATTTCAGAGAATGTTAGTCTTGACTAGTGTAGATTATGGTTGAAATATCTCCTTAGATCTGTGAACCATTCACGAGTTATCATCTATCTTTTGGTCAAAAGTAGCCTGTACGCTGGCAAGACTTTCACAATTAGGACACAAGCTAACATAGCGGGGCTGGTTTTAGGTTGTAGAGTACCCTTGCCGCTAGATCCTCACAGAGCCCGATTTTCGAAGTTCCCTCTATTTGTGTTATAAGAACTCTTCTTCGAAAACTTCGCGAATTCATGACCAAAAATACGTTCACATAAATTAGACATGTGAGTTTTTGATTTGGCGAATATAGAAATTCAAAAGTTGGGTTCTGTGAGGATCTAACCGTAACTATGTGCTATGTAATAGAAAAAACAATTACCACTTCCATGTCGGGTAGTTATGGAGACAAATCTGCTCGTGTAAATTGCATGCTCGAAAAACTGATTTTGGAAAAAACTGAAAAATAGTATTAGAAATCGATTTTTCCGGAAATCACTTGATTTATATATCAATGTTTAAGACAGCTTATAAATATGGGACCTAAATATTAAGTTTTGATAGGCTCTTAGTGACTAGTATTTAAGAGAAAACTTTACGAAATGCTGATGCAAAGAGAAAGCAACCTAAAAAGTCGAAATAGCTTGGAATAAATAACCGTGAAATTTTCTTGGAAAATATGATAGTAGGAGCGAAATTTTAGACGATGAGTTCGCCAAATTCAATTCATTTTTTATAAACTGTAGATGTTCAGAAAGAGAAGACTTCGATGCATCTTCCTATGATAAAACTTCAACCTTGACTCGTCTCCGAAAAATTGAATTTTCTGAGAGCGACCCCCTTAAACACAAAACCTTCTATACAATAAAAAAGAGGAAGATGGAAAGAGAAAGAGAAGGAAACATACGCAAATATTAACGACAATAATTTTTCTTCTTTTTTTTACTCATCTGGCTACAATATTTGACACATAAACTATCTGCGAAAGCATAATAAAATAACGGTTTTCTTCTTTCCATCTCAATTAAGTAAAGCCTACATGATCATCATTTTATCTTTAAAAATAATGAAAAAATCTCACAAAGTCAGTTATAACTGAGAAAACATCAAAGTACTCTCAACTAGAACAATTAGTTTCGAACAGTTTCAAGATAATAGCACTATAATGGAATAGTTCTTGATTAAAAGAAATAATTAATATAATTTTTGAAATCATTATTGCCTCAAAGACGATAATAAAAATGCTTAAAAACAAACTTTCATAAAATTATGATGTTTTATAGGATTATTTATGACATTATAGCTTACGATGACAGCTCTTAGGACCTTTTCTTTTATACAGTTTTGTAGCCCAAACAATTCTGAGTCTGAAATACCAAATTTATTTTTTTTGGGATGTATTATTGTTTTCCAATAATATGATAAATACTATAAGGTATATCATAAAAAAACAGCCTTTTTTTATCATTTCAAAAATTAAAAAAAATACTTGGTCGATCTCGTTCAATGTCATGTTATTTTGCATGGGCATGATAGAGAAAAGAAAGATGAACAACTTTTGTCCCAGGAGTACTAGTCGATAATGTATTGTAATAACAGTAGAGGTTTCATAAATTACGTCCAGCTAAAATAGCTGGAGTGATCTGAATTACCCGAGTAAAATTGCTTGACTGATCCGAATTACCCCGAGTTCATTTTTAACTTTTAAAAACTGATGGATATAGGTATCAATGTTGTGAATATTGCATCTCTAAGGTCATTTTCGATCATCGAGATATCTTCAGATTCCATAGTAGAGACTTTAGGCTATGAAATGGTGTATTTATTTATTTGTCAAGACCAGCTAAAAATTGAGTTAAGAGATGGGAAAAATAGAGTATAGCTGTTTTGGCTGTAATGATCCGAATTACCCCACATTGGGTAATTCGGATCTCCTACCATACTGTCTCTTGTATTTTTGATCATACTTTTTTACAATACATGATTTTTTGGAGATTATTTCGTCAATCGATAGAGCACACTTTGTTCTACTTGTGATCCAAAACTCACTTCTATATTACGTAAAATACAGAAGAGCGAAGAAAAACAAAACGAATTTTTAAAATTTTGATCCGAATTACCCCACATGACTGTATAATGAATTATTAGAGAAATTTTGAATAGCAATGAGAATATAGATTTTTTTGTTTGTTGAAAGTACAAATAACTCACAGAAATCAAGGATAATTATCATTAAATAATTGTCAATGTTACAAGAATAAATCTGTATTAATGTTCTTTTCATTCACTATTACGAATAAAGAATGAATAATAGATTTATTATTTTATTCCATAAAATGTGTTTGTAAAAACATTCAGAGTACTTCACTTCTTCATTTATTTACCGTTGTTGCATATCTTCAAATCAATCAAATTTCTTAGAAACCGCTGTGATTCTTAATGTTAATGCTCACATTTTTGCATGTAAAAAAAAATTGTATAATCTACGTATAGCAATAGCTAAATTTTTCTTGAGGAATACGCACAAAAAGGGCTTGAAACCTTCATCATTGAATTAGTCATCGATACGAACTCGAAATAATACTCATAGTGTAGCAAACTTGAACTAAATTGTACTGAATGTCGTCGCTTTCAGAATAAGCAAAAAAGGACTGTCAGATAGAACTTTGCTAATCAGAAATATCTTTCGTGAAACACAAAAATAACATTAACACAGTATTTTATTTTATTTATCAATAAAAAAATAATTGCATCGCTCATGAAAGTTCTTTCTCATATTTTTCGATAAATGATTTTTGTTTTTGTTTAATTAAAGACATTTGCTTTTCAATTTCATCAATTTTACTAATCTTTTCAATTAGATCATAGATACTCGACAAATTAATGGATGCATCAGTTAACATTGATGTTTTTTGCGCTTGTTTGTATTCTTTTCTGAAATTAACCAGTATATCATATAAAAATGGATTAAGGCATGTAGGATCATTTTTTGAACGATGTTCCTTTTCTTCAGCAACCATTCCTTTCAAGGTAGACAAAATAGGATCTGTCTGATTCGATAGACTTCGGTTTTTAGCATAGAATTTAGCGAACTCTATCATTGTCGTTTGCAATTGCTCGACAGTTGATTTCATGTATGGAAAAGATTCTGTGCCCATCTCATCTGAAAGTTCATATTCAAGACGATAGTCGATTTCAACATGGTTTTGTCGAGGACAGTCGCAGTCTTTACACTGATCTGAATCAATGTGTAAATCATCTTNGTAATTCGGATCACCTACCATACTGTCTCTTGTATTTTTGATCATACTTTTTTACAATACATGATTTTTCGGAGATTCTTTCATCAATCGATAGAGCACACTTTGTTCTACTTGTGATCCAAAACTCACTTCTAAATTACATAAAATACAGAAGAGCGAAGAAAAACAAAACGAATTTTTTAAATTTTGATCCGAATTACCCCACGTGACTGTACTTTATCAATATTGAATGGTCATTTATAAAAAAAAATATTGAAAATTTCAGCATATTGACTTTAGGTTTATCGGATATGAATAATTTTATTGATATTTGAAAGGGATAAAATTATAAGCGCAATTCGTACGGAATTAAAATATGACGCATAATGTAGTTGCGCTGTACTAAATCATCAGGAGGTCATTTTATTCTATTTATTTTCAGATATATTTCTTCACTTCTCCTTTACATAATTATCGAAAAATGGAAAATTGAAGTAGCTCAGATATTAAGGCGTTGTTGAGATGTCTATCAGATTTGTGTAGGTGAGAATCCAATTTTCTGCACCTTTACTTCAACACTTTTTAAATCATGTTTCTCAAGCACTTGCTCATAAATCATATGCAAGCGATATATTACAGAGAATAGATAAAAGAAAAACGAATAATAGCCACAACACTTGTTTAATGTTTAAATTTGTTTCTTTTGTTTTGCTACAACTAATGATAAGCTATCGAATAGTTTCATACGATCAGTTTCATTATATGTATATTATTTATTTCATATATCAATACGCTGTTGTATTTCATTCGTCAGTTCGGTTTTTTGTCGATCTTAAGCATCAGCATTTATTTTTTGTGTCAGTTTCTGTTGAAATAGAGCCCCGTTCAATTGGAGAAATTCAACAAAATTTGTTTGAAAACTTTAAAAATATTGGTTTAAAAGGTTATGGAAACTTACGAAGAAACTATTTCATCTCTTAAGAGAACTTATTTTTGATAATATTCTAAGCACGAGGATAATGTTCGTAAGCATCCCATATTCTATAACTAGCGAGAATATTATAAAACCACGACTGACAACAATAGAACATAATTGAACAGTAAATTGTCAAGTTACCTCATCTTCTAACATTTTTGATATTTTAATAGGCTCAACATTTTTTTATCGTTATTATTCTCTTTTGACCGTCTTTTGTTTCGACATTTGTTCTTTTCGGTCTTTCTATACCATGTGTGCTATATGAATGGATTCTGAAGGCATGTATGCAAAGAAAACTTATCAAAGAAAAAATAGTTTCTAAGATTTTTTTTAAATATATATAGAAGAGAAATTACAATTTGTATTTACGCTAGTAACCGGTGAGAGAACTCCTTTAGGTGTCAAATCGCTTTTCGATCGAGACGATGTTCATTGGATGGGTGCTAGAGAGTAATAGAAAAGTCCAAAATGATTGGATATTTGAGTCTTAGATATGAAATACTAGAAATGTTTCAACTTTCCCAAATAACTAATCTCATTGAGAACTTTATTCATGTAAAGTTTGAAGTCAAAATTCGTAACTAAATTTGCCACGTGACCTAAGGGAACAAAAAAATCCAGTAAAATTTCGATTTTTTCAAGAGCAAAGGTCGAAAAAATAAAATCACTTTAAACTTTTGTATTAATCACTAGTACTCATCAAATGAACATCGCCTCGATCGAAAAGCGAGTTGACACCTGGACAGGTTCCTTTGTGAATCGAAGTATTAGCTTGTCTTTAGAGAAATAGATCGAGTACTTGTAAGACAAAAATATAATATTTTGTAACATGTCAAATAGCTTTAAGGGATATTTTATAATTTTTCATTAAAAAAATTTAAACATTAGGATTCTATACATGTCGATAAATTTATGTCTTGAATCTGCTTACATAAAGATGAGTATTACATATTTTTGAGTTTGTTCATAATCAATTATATGTATTCAAACATGTTTACATTTATTCGAAAGTCAAATTAAAAGATTTTGAAAAATATTGTTGAAATAAGAACTTTAGACAAATCTTAACATCTTTCAATTTTAAAGCACAGCATTCTATTTCAAGTTTAACACAAGATTTCTATTTAAATAGCTAAGCTATGACAACAGTGGTCTTTGTTGTTTTAGATAAGAAAGCGAACAGGGGTGCATACCAGCACCCCAGAATTTGAATAAATACAAATATTTTATAATATATAAAGAATGTTAAATACTTAAGTTATCAACAAGTATTAATCATTCGTATGATGCCAACAAAATCTCAAATTGATATTCACAATTTCAATCGGTATGTTCATATCAAGTTTTTTAATTTGTATTTCAAATATACATTTCAATTACAATAAAAAAAAAAAACCCTTTTTATTTTTATTATTAAGCCCATATTCCTATAATCGCCATAGCTGCAACACCAGCATATAATGCAACAAAATATAATAATTTTAATCGTCTGCTTAATGAATGAAATGTATGAACACCAGCACCCATTTCAGCTGTAATTAAATTAACAAGAGCAACATAAATAAGAATACCACCTGATATTGCATCTAGGATACCATTGACAAGTAATGAAGCAACTGAATTTGGATTGTATGTTCTTGAATGAATACCAATACCTATAGCGATACCAACGGGAGTTGTCAAAACAAAAAATATAATCATAAGAATAATCGACTGTAATGACAAATGAGTTAAACGAGCAATTTGTGCACCAAGTGCAATTGCTTCAAAAAATTGATGAAAACTTAGTGCAACAAATAAAGCAACGAAAGATTCACTTGCTGTACCCAATGCTACACCAATGAGAACTGAATGAAGTGCTATACCGAATTCAAGTAAATATGCACTTATTTTATTAGTTTGAGCATCATCTTCAAAAGCACCACCATGATGATGATGATGATGTGTTGATTTGCTAGTGTCTACAGGTGTATTAGCAGCTTCATCTACTGAAGTACTCATTTCTATATGTTGGTTCGTTTTAGATTCTAAATTTGTATCATTTGATATTGGATTAACACGGTAATAATATCGTTCATGAGCAATGAATTCAATCAGTTGCATAACAAGTACAGCTAACATAGCAAAAAGACCGGCATAAGCGCTATATTTATTCCACGAATCGGGTAAACAAGGATGAGTTAATGATTCCATTGCTGGTGGTAACATATGAATGAAACCTGTTGCTAGTATGATTCTAAAAAATGCAATAGAAACTTTTTATGTTTTTTCAAAATAGTCTATCGTTTTTCATTTAACGTACCCACTACCAAAAAATTTTCCCGTATTAATTATAATTGGATTAATATGTAGACGTTTAACTCGTGTTGTAACAATTGAAAAACAAGTACCAACAAACGATACAATTAATAGTACAAAAATTGATATAATATGATGGTTTAAATTATATGATCCTTCAACGTCTTCATGTTCTAGCATACATTCATTGTTTGCTGCTATTCTTAAATTATTACTTATATTCATATTTAATTAATATACCTTTTTTTTTTGTTTTGATGCAATAATATGAACAAATAATATTTAGAATTCTTCTTTTGATAACCTCTTATATATTTTGTTCTTATTTTATATTCACTTTGCCTATCGTCGGCCGATAGGAGGAGATAGATACACATATACACTCTCATAAAACTTGTTTTTGTTACTCGTCTACCTACTTTTTTCATTCTTGTTTTATTATATTTATATCACACAAACTAACATCCCGTCCGAAGATTACTTTTCATGTTCGTTTGATAACGTCTTTTTATCAGAGCATGTTTTTTTCTCATTGTGAGTCCAATAAATGACACTTTTAGTTTTGCTATTTGCAATTGTATCATTTTATTATTAGATACTTTACAACAACTAATATCAAAGAAGACTTAAGCTTTCTAAGTAAATAGAGATTTAGAATAAAATGTCCTCATATATCGAAAACAATATAATAAAATGTTAAAATTTAATAAAGTCGTATAGTTGTAAATGAAAATGCAACTTCAGCTTTAGCTTTAAGATTGAGTTCATAATCTAGACGAGCTCCAAGTGAACGTGCTTTATCATCATAAAATAAGCAAACCATTGATAATTCACATATTGATTTAAATCGAATATTTATTTTTCGTTGTTTATAATTTTGAATTAATATATTTGTTGCTATTAATGATGAATTTGTTTTTTGATTATTTGTTGTTGTACGATTATATTCTAATATAATATCAGGATCTTCACCTAATTTAAATTCATATTTTTCTAATTCAACTAATGTTGGTAAATGCCATTCACCAGTAAGTACATTAGATGATGAATCATAAAGTAATAAATGACCAGTTGGTAAAAATGATGAACTATTTGATAATTGATATAGACGTTGAAATTTATGTTTATTTGAAATAACCGATACAATATTATTTGTGGATACTGGTGGCATAGTTAAAACAAGTGTATACATATAAATGATTTTAATCTGAATATTAGGTGATTGAATAGGTAATGTCAGTATAGAATAAGGATCAATTTTTAATGAACTATTCATAGATGAAAATAAATGAACACCACTATAATCAATATTAGTTTTAGTTAAAGTTTTTGCATCAATTAATGATGAAATTCTATTTGTACCAAATGTAAGATCTATGTCACCTGACATTAAATGTGTTTCATTAAATTGATAAGTAAATGGACTTGTATTAATAATATCAACTAAAATTTGAAATTTTATTGAACGATCAGAATATGTTTGAAGTATATAACGTGGTTGCCATCGAAGATTTTTGATAATATAACTAACAATCAAAGAATGATTTGATGGTATAGGATGAAAAGAAACTTCATATATTGGACTTGATTGTGGTTCATCAAAATATTCAATAAGATTAGATTGAACACGAAAATAATGTCCTGTTTCAATTTCACGTACAAGTGAATAACTATTATCTTCATTGATTATTTCACAAACAACAGGAAATTTATGTTCAGGGTATCTGCGAACAAAAACTTTTTTACCTGGAAAGACAGAAAAAAAGAATATTGAATAATAATAAATATAAGAAGAATTGATTGTATTTAGTTACCGATCATATTCATATGAATTCGATTAACTCTTCGTTCAAACATAATAGTTGTGTCATTGATGTGATTATCTAATGACGATCGCAATATAATACTTTCATGTTTAATATTATTCCAATCAATTTGTTGAAAACGAAGTGGTCCTTTGTATTCTTGATGAATTTCCGCAAATGAATCATATAATCGAAGGGTATGATCAAATGAAATACTCATTGGCATAAGTATAGATAATAAAATAAGCATAACAACGATATGAAATAGCATTGTTATTCGTATTAAAAAGTTTTTCAAATGAATAAAATGAATGATTGAACTTTGCATTTATTTATAATTGATCAATGTATATATAAGCTTCAAATTACTGAACATATACAAACAAACTTTTTAAAATGATATTTGACACTAAACTATTGTATCGTTCATTGTTTATAATATTATACGTGTCTAAAGTAGGTCGACAACATTGCTATTTAATACTATTGTCATTTTATTGCTTTTTTTTCTTCTCGTTTGATTGAATAGGTAACTTAAGATCGAGTGATAATATGATTTTACAGACGATTATTACTTGTTTGTTCTATTTGCAATATACAATTGTCAATGCGAAAAACAACTACTATTGTTGTATATTACACATTGAAAATAGATGGGTGAAATTAACGAAAACAAGACATAAACATCTTTAATTTGATCTGTTAAAAAAGTTTTTTCTTTGAACAATTACTTTTCCAATGAATATATGTAAACAATATTGACTCTTTCAGTTTAAACCTAATCGAATTTACTTAACTAATGATACTATTACTTGATAAGAAAAAGTCCAAGAATTTCAGAATAGACTCTGTGCTATATAATATATCTAAGGTGAAATTTTCAGGAAGATTGGACTCCAAAAACTGATTTTTCAATATAACCTTTCTTTCTTTTAGAATGAAGCTTTTGGCTCCGATATTATTTCGCAATCCTCAATAAAGCTTTGTACCAATTAGAATTGATGAATTGTTTGTTTTTCAAAAGTACTGTTGGAACTTACAGGATTTGTAATTTTTGTGTCACGTCGCTAACACTGGTTTTTCAATAATAAATCGGCGGAACCTAGATCTAGAGTACTGAGTTTTCAGGGTATACAGACTGATTCAACATACACTTGTTACATGAAAATTAATTAAAAGATATGCCAAAGTTCAGAGATATAAGTATTTTCTTGCGAGATGACTTTGTCAAAGAATGAAATTGCCCACATGTTTGACATTTTCTAGCTGTTAGCTATAACATGCGTATTTATCTTCAGTTACAATTTGTTATGTTTAGGTTACTGGATTTATTTTATTAATACTGGAGTCAATAGAACACAGCAGCAGATTGAATTTCACAAAATTCAAACAAGCATTATTCTGATGAATTGTATTAAAATTTTGAAGGGTTTTTTCAATCAAGTCGTGAAAATTGTCGTGATTTTGACGATTTCGAAAAAAATCAGTGATTATATCAGATTTTATTGTGATAGAAGAAACAATTTTTCGAAAATCATCGATAAATCGGAGCGGTAAATCGTGTTTAAACATCTATTTCAGTAATTGATTACGAAATATAAATTAATTAGAGAAATGTTCTAAGGTTTATAAATTTTAGAGTAAAGTCTAATTTCTATGCAGTTTTTTTTAGCATAATCAGTGAGATTTAAAATTCAACGAGAGCGTTAATTTCGGTATGACTGTCTCTACTATGACATGGACGAGATTGGACAATTTTAAAAGTGAATAAATGGAATATTTCTCATTCACACTTATTTGTTTTAAAACATTTCTTGTTGCATGTAGAGTTTATTTTGGATACATTTTCAGATCATATATTTTTTTCAACTTGATTTCTTTTCGTCGTAAATTCCGTTTCAAAATGAATCTATCCATCGTCGATTAATGTAAGGTTGAATAGCCATTTTTCAAAGTAAAATTGTGTGTTGCATTACTGTTGTCGCATTCGTTACATATTCTGTTCATATAAAATAATGTCAGCACTTTGTTTTTCAATAAGAATATTTCTTAATTCAAATATATAACAATAAAAATTATGCTTATCTGCATAAAATCGCATAAGTTATCAACATAACGAAGGACAAAAATCGACTACAAAACCATGATTTATCACTAAAATCGTCTAAATAATCGAAGAACACCGACTATTAATCACTAATTTTTTAGCGATTTTGAAAACATGGCCATATATTCTATCTTCCATATTCAATAATTGTTCTATCAGAATTTGTGTTGAACGAATGAATCGTGATAGACAGTGACCAATAAAATAGAAACAGTTACCTTTAACCTGATATTAGGTCCAAGCCAACAAATGTTCACTGGTAAGTCTTCTATTAGGTCTCATTTATTTTCATAAGTATTGTTTAAAAAGATTTTAAAAGTCTAGAAATAATCTTAAGATACGTCTTTAAAGGTGTTTCAGTAAAAGTTCCTGAAAGCTAGACGACTCGATATCTTTTAGGGACGAGGGAAGGGGACTAAAAATTCAGCAGAAAATGCTTTCATCCTCAGAGTACTATAGAAGTTATGGCAGAATGGTGAAGGGAAAGAACAAAACCCTTCGTAAGCTGGTCTCTTCCACAACACACGACTTGCCACCAGGCCGTCCTTTCTTCGAGGCTTGTCCCATCTATCATTCATCTTGCTAAGATGTTGGTCGCTTATTTTTATTCCGTTTTCTGTCATAGAAAGGCTAATTCGGTTTCTGTCCAAACTTACCACGAAGCTGTAAAGAATTAGGAGAAAGTCGGACTTTTTGCGGGGCAGGAAAAACCTTCCTATTGATAACTCTGACTTCAATCAAGACTATTCTAACATGTATTGTTTCTTTTTATTGCAGTCTTGTTAGACAGCTAGTAATACTAGCTTGATGTATATAAAGTCATTGTGTTCATGTTATTTACTATATCACGTATCTTTTCATTAGACCCTCGACATAACACGTGAACACCAAACCTCTCATTTTCTTTTCTTCACATTATTACTTTTCTTTCCCTTTGTCAGTTATTTATATCTATATATATTTTCAATAGAAACGATACATAATAGTATAATATTTAAACAAATGTCGAATCTCTATCTGTGTCCCGATGGTAAATTATTTTTATTCTACTAGATTGAGATAATTACATTTTTTGAATAATAGATTTTTGGCGTTGTCCAATTGATCTTAATCATCAAGTACTTGCTAAACGATTTCAATATCATATTCGACGATGTATGATTGTAAGTCAAGATTTTTTTTGGGTATTTTCATTTTTGAAGAAAATAAAATTATGTGTCGTGATCTGTTCAAATATATGTGAACAATAACGCTTTGTTTTCTTTTTTCATTTACTTTTTGGCCAATCCTCATATTCGCCGTGTTCGTTGTGTTTTTAATGCTAATCATTTAACAACACCGAACGATTTACTCGCTCATATGTCAACATGTCCTGATGCAATTGATAGAAGTACTGTACTTATTGGTCTTTCTGATATTCGTAAGTTTCTTAATTTAGAAAAAAAAAAACTGATTGAATAACATAGAGAACATTGATATTCATTTTAGCACCAGGTCGACCTTGGTCTGATGATTGCCATCGATCATCTGCACCAACCGAATGGCAAATGTTTCATGATGTGAATGCTACCGAAGATTGGGATGGTAATGACTCTGATCCTTTCTTTCCATATGACTTCTGTATTTAATAAATAGATGATATTCGTGAACGACGCGCAAAAAATGTGGCAAGCAGGTAAATAAATGAAAATATTATGTATTTCAGTATTTATTATTTTCAATTTTAAGTGAACAGATGATGATTTCATCTTCGATTCAGTTCGTATAATCCGTTCTCTTAATTTTTTGTCTTCTGAACTATAGATGTTTTATCAAGAATACCATCATCAACATCTCTATTAGCTAGTCAACTTTTAAATGAGAAACAACAGAAAGATGTTGAACATCACATATATAATGCTGAAGATGTAAATCAAAAAACAACAACGAATATTTATACACCTGTAACTGTCATCAAACAAGCACGTATGTTAAAAAAGTTAATGTACGAAAAAATAATTTTTCTTAGAATACTTATTTTAATTAAAGATGTTTTTAAAGAACATGATAATGATGGTTTAATTCATCCAGTCGAAACTGATGAAATCACGTGAGTTTTATTTTCCGTTCCTATTTTTTTTGCAAGATTTACACCTGTAAAGAATAGTTGAACAATCTATTAATAGTTAAAATGATGGGATAAACTGCGCATATTCTAGCTTTTATCAAATAAAAGAAAAAGAAAAAATATACTACTGTAAATAAATTTAATTATTTAGCATGATTGAACAAAAGTTATTCATGTAAAAAAAAATCAAATTTAATTCAAGAAATCCTTTTTTCCGAAAGAACATAGGAAGTCAATACTTCCGATTATATTTTTAAAAAAAAGGATAGTCCAAAAATGTTGACCTCATATAGTTGATTACTGTTATTCATGACATACTGATATATAATTTACTGATTGACATACATCATTTTGTAGAGAAAGAAAATAACGATCATTTAAAAAACAAAGATACTTCGAAATACAGATATATTCTCGTCATTTAATTAATCTTGAGTAAATATTTTTATCTGATACTTTTATAATTTTTACTAAAATACTCTGGGGTTGAATGCATGGACAACTTACTACATTTTTGTGTACTCAAAAAGTGAGCACACTCTAGAATCGGTCAGTATGTCCGTCCGGCCGTATACACGATAACTTTCAAAAGGAGAGTCCGATCACGATGAAATTTTCTACACAGTTCAGTCTTAACAATGTCTCGGTCGAGTTCGAAGATGAGCAGGATCTGTCAAGAAATGGCTGAGTTATCGAAAAAATTGTCATTNTGTTCTGGTGCTGAGCGAACAAATCTTGGACGACCTCCTTCAGACAAGAAGCATAAATTAGCATCACCACAATCTGCTGATCAGTTGGACGGTGGGATGCATTTGCCTGTCAAGGGAACCCGGAAGAGATGCGCTTATTGTAGCACAAAAGAAGTGCAAGTTCGATCAACCATCGAATGCTCTACTTGCAAACTGGCTTTTTGCGAAACAGGCGAGAAAAATTGTTTTTTTGAATACCATAAAGTTTTTATGGAAAAATTTTGAGTCGGATTCAATAAACCGATAAAAAGAATCAATTTTTAATGAAAAAAAAATTCCGTCCTGAAAGGGTTAAAGGTGAAATAGGTGAAGTCAGATTTTTTTGATGATTTTGAAATAGAAAAAACCTGATTTCAGTTGTTTCCTGTTCGTGGTTTACTCAGCTATGTTATTGAAATATACGAATGGGTTCATCAAGTTTTTTTTCTTCTCGTCTGAAATTTGAATCAATACTTGTTAGATAATGATATCTTCTACAATGTTTTGATTTGATTATATTTCGATGTAATAGAAAAAGAAAAAAGAAGAAAATTTAATCAATATAAATTTGAAATCTTTCTGGTGGAATAAATTCGAAACCTTCACCATATAAAATGGGAATAATAATTGATCCGGGTGAATTTTTAATACGAGTTATTGTTAATATTTGGTTTATTTGAAAATTATTAATATTAAAAGTAAATTCTTTTGGTGATAATGTAAAACAATCAATACATTGAGTTGTATTCCATTGAACAAGAACAGTGCCATTTCCAGCAATTCGATGCGGTGGAGTAGAAAGAGAAACATGAAATTTTGCACTTTTGTTTAATTTAATCGTTGCAGATTGTGGATAATATGAAAGACCAAGATCAACATCTTCACACATGGTAGGCCAGTTCTTTGGAATTGAATTAAAATATTTATCATCTGGTTTTCCAATTGATATTATATTATAATTTGTTGTTGTTTGTACAAATCTAAATCCTCGATAAATAACTTGAGTTAATCGTAGAGGGATTTCTGTATTTTTTTTTAAAAAAATTTCTTGACATGGAGGTTTACTTCCATCCTCAATTTCACATTTTTCATTTGTATACCAATAATCTTCATCTAGAGAAGAACTATTTGAATGTATCATTTTATAAGTAAAATTAAGATAATTTTTTATTTCAAATGAACTTCCATTAAGCCAATGTGATGGAAATACATTCAAATAATATCCACCATATTTCCAATATGTTGTATATTCACAAGATGCGAGTGATGCATCACCAAATAATAACTGTACATAGTATTTTGATTGAGGAGAATCAGGAATTGCATATGGAAAATGTTGCAAAGCATAACTTATTTGTGGTGTTGGATCAAAACTATAAGTAATTGATTGATAAGCACGTTGATTTATTTCATCAATTGCAATTATTGTTGTACCATTACCATAAGAAAAAACAATTTGACGAGGAAAATATGGTTGTTCACAGTAACCTATATAATAGCACAGAATAAATGATATTAAATACAATAATATTTTCATCATTTTAAATTGATAAGATATTTTTATTGGACTATCAGCATATATATATATATATAGACTGTTTTTCGCTACGTAATAAACAAAGTATCATCAAATGATAAATTAACAAAAAAATAAAATATTGTCATATGTTTTTCATTTTATATTTGCTTAAGCTTTTTTCTTGTATTCTGTCGTTATGAATCTGATACCGTCCGTATTCTATTTTTGTTTTATCCAAAAAAACAGCCTCTTTTCTTTTTTAATAATTGTCCTTGATTTTTCTTATATAACATATGGCCGAAAAGTTTTCGACCAAAATATTGAAAGCTGAAACATATATACTCCTGAACAGCAAAACCTGGACAAGATATTTCAGATATATCGTCACGATAAAGACATAATTTTAAAAGAATAGTATCATATTCTGAGAGCGTGTGAAATTTTCATCTTTCTTTATATTTGTATAGTGCCTTATAGTTATCTATTATCAAAATAATTTAAGAATAATGAAGTCAAATGAAAACTAAAATATAAATATACAGAATGATAGAAAATTTCATATGCTCTCGGGATATGACATTATTCTTTTGAAATTATGCTTTTATCGTGAAGATATACCTTAAATATATTCTTTTGATAAAATCTTTATTTCAATTATTTGTTAAATATTCAAAATCAAAACAAGCAATTTATTCAATATAAATTAGATAAATCTCAGCTAGAATAACATCTAAAATTCCACCATTATAAACAGAAACAAGAGTTATTTGTTGGCCATCTTTGTCGGAGAGAATGAGTTTGAGTTACAATTGAATGTTTCATGCAGATTAAAAGAATTATCAGCACAATTGGAACCGATGAGATTTTTTCAACGAGATCCGATCTGCCAGTTCAGCCTTTTCAACAGAACTAGATCGACCGGTAGCCGGAAAAAATCAGCTGATCTAATTAAACAATGCAAACTGCGAAAAAATGGTCTGTTCTATATACCGATAAACCAACGGCTGCTCATTTCAATAAAAGATGGCTGGTAGGTGTTTTTTGAATAACTTTTGATAGGAGAACGGTAGAGAGCTGCAGTTTTCATCGTTGGAAAGAGTAGATGAAATCGCATAGAACCCTATCAGACAATGACCTTTAACTTGAACTTTTGAAACTTTTTGCAATAATTGAACAAAAAAATGTATTAAAAATACGCCTGATTTTTCCAGAAAAAAGCGAACAAAATTAAAAAAACTGAGCTTTTTTCTATAGAAATTGCTGGCAAAGTGGACTCAAATTGTCGAATATGATATCCAGAACTTCCAAAGCAGTACAGCTTTGAATCAAGTCTTATATAAAGGGTGTCCCATAAGTTCTGGGCCTCGGCAAAAATTAGTTTATATATAAACAAAGAGTGACCAATACCTAACTATATCTATATGAGCTTCGAATACTTAAGACGATCTCTAAAATGGCATATTATGAGATGACATTACCTCTACTCATAATGGTGGTATAAGCATAAGAATCTTGATAAATAAAACCTTCAAATCGACCAGTGGGGTTTCAAGAAGTTTTAATGGACTACGAATGGATTGCATGTATCATAATAGGGTGTGGGGTGTCGGTGTAGGTGTAGGAAAGACTGAATGATAACACGCATACACGCAGGCACACTCACACTCACATACATCTCTACACTCATACTCACAACCACACCCACACCCACACCCACACCCACAGATTTAGTATCTTCGTCGCAAGCTGTAATGACATAACATAATCCTACATGTTGAATATCTCTTAAGTATGTCTGATTGAATCAGAGACACATCTATTTTGATACTGATGTCACATAAAATTTTCTTTTCTGTGGAGTTATCACCGACAGTGTGCCACCTAGAAAAGTTGTCTCTTATGTATAGACAAAAGCACTAGCCATGTGCTGATAGGAAAAAATTTTTTTCTTCTCGCTGGATTAGACGTATAGATCGATACTTTTGCTGCACAATTCAAATAAAATAAAAGCAACACATTGCTTATATAATTCAAACGAATTTCATCTATCCATACGATGCCTACAGGTCATAATTTCTCGCGTGACGCGAGGCAAATGATGTTTAATGTGATCAAATTTGTAGAGCGTGAAAAAGATGGTTGCTTAATTCCATTGAATAATGTAAATGATCGTATTAAATCTATTCTTGGTATTTCAATGTCGTCAGTTGAAAGACTGAAGAGAGAAATGAGAGAACGAGTAAGAGAGATGTTAGAAAAACAAAACGAATTGATTGAATTACAAAAGAAGCGGGATCAAGAAAAGCAAAATAACGAAGATGCGGCGATTCAAGCTACTCTTCGGCTTCGAAATCCACGTACCAGATCATCATCATCAACATCATCATCTTCGTCAGTTACTGCTGCATCCAGTCCCACTGTAACAGCATTTATGCCTGTTGCTAAATCATCACGAAAACGTGCTCATTCCGGTCGTTCTTCTATCCTTTTGACAGAAAGTCAAAAAGAAAATGTTCGGTAGCCACACTCACCAGAATACACTGTTTAATATATGTACACTATTTATAGTTACCATGCTCATCTGATGTTGGCTGAGCGGATCTACCCAACCGTCGATAAAGTTTTCACTCGAATTTTGAGTGACGATCCTGATTTTCCGATCCGTTCGACGTCGTCGTTATGCCGGTGGATGAAAAAAATAGGCTTTGCGTATAAAAGAACATCGAAAATTGCTGTTCG